ATTCAATGGAAATATCTGTAAGACAAGTAACAGTAGTAAATAAGGATCCAATTAGGGGAGTTTCTGTCAGAAATAATATATTATGCTTACAGGTAATCAGCCCAGTAGCAGGTGAGAAAGGTGAGTATGTTCAGAAGGGAGGGAAATAAATGCCTGCTGAGATGAAGTTAGTTTTCTAATAGTGCTAATTCTAATCTGAAAACTAAATTAAAAATCCCATGGGGCACCTGGGTGGCTCAGTTGGTTAAGTGTCTGCATTTGGCTCAGGTCATGATCTCAGGGTCCTGGGATCAGACCCACATTGGGCTCCCTGCTCAGTGGCGGGCCTGCTTCTCTCCTTGTCCCTGCTCACACTCTCTCTTTCAAATAAATAAATAAAATGAAGAAGAAGGAGAAGGAGAAGAAAGGAGGAGGAGGAAGAAAGAAAGAAAGAAATCCCATATACAGAAATCCCATTCCCAAAACCTTTGTATATTGTAGAAAGAATAGCTGCCAAGGTATCTGAGATGTCAGATGGAAAGATTACAGACATGATCTTCAGTTCAAATATTCTATTCCATTGTTAGGCTTTGTTTAAGCCCCGGAAAATAGGTTCAACTGGTTATGTACTGAGCAAAGAGAGGGACTTTCAGCATTTCACAGATCTCAGCTTAGTGATTTTCAGATCTCCCATGGCGGCAAGTTTATAATGTGAATCTAAGTTGTACAGTAGTTCTGAGACATGGACAATCCTGATTCAATCAAAACTAAATTTAAAGAATGTTTCTATACTGAATTAGTCATTCTCCAGAAAGGTACCTTGTCGTCCACTGCTTAAAACATCATCTACATAGCCCTAAAGGTATAATTAATTAAAGGTATTCTCCTTCTTACAAAGAATTCAGAAATGAAAATCTGTTTGGGTCCCAAGTGTACAGAGTTGCACATTATTTAACAGGTGAATTTGGTGCTGTGGTTCTGTTTTCACAAGTGTTAAGGCTGGATGAGATGGATACTACATAGGCTAGTAGTCATTCTAGAAAGCAGCTCAAAGGCTCAATAAACCAGCTGTCTGAGGTATTTGCTTAATCCGTCAATCCTGACAGTTGCTAGGTGTGATTTACTGGGTAGATTAAGTACTTTGTTCTGCCCACTGTAATGAATAAAGACAGTAGTAATCTTTGCATGCACACTTTTCCCAGCATCACCAGGCAAATCATAGATCTCTCTTTCCCACTAAATGGAATCTGTTTGAGGCCTGAGCAAAGCAAAGATAGATGGTAGGATTTGGAGCATGACTGTTCTGTGATGTTTTCATACTCAGCACTGGTTTCGTACAGAATAAGTATTAACAGCATCTTGCTACATGGGGCTTATTCCTTAGAATCTCATTAAGAAAGATGGCAGCTGGGGTTTGCATTTCTGTACTCCACCCAGGTCAAAATGCTGCATTTCTAATGTTTGTTAACTTCTCAATTACCTCTTGTATTTTGGTATATGCTAGCTCTATAAATATATTCTCCTCTATATGGAAGGGGTTTAGAATACAATCGTCATGTTAATTGTTCCTTCTTTTAATTTGAAAATAAGAAACTAAAGTTTATGTGCCACCTGGGGTACTTTCTATTTGTATAGACTTGATTCACTCAAATCACAGCTTACCTTTTAATCTTGACCTACAGAAATCAAGATATTATTCTTAAGCCGTAAGAAAAACATGAAAGGAAAAAAGATATAAATGCAATGAAGATGCAAAGGGGAATTCAGATTGCACATTTTCTTAAAAGATTTTATTTATTTATTCGACAGACAGAGATCACAAGTAGGCAGAGAAGTAGGCAGAGAGATAGGATGGAAGCAGGCTCCCCGCTGAGCAGAGAGCCCGAGGCGGGGCTCCATCCCAGGACCACCCACGGGATCATGACCTGAGCGGAAGGCAGAGGCTCTAACCCACTGAGCCATCCAGGCACCCCTGCACATTTTTTGAACCTGTAGTCAATCAATTAGAAAGTAAATAAATACTTAAAGTCAAGAGTTTGAGAAAATAGAGGCCAAAAGACTACTAAGACAACATTATGGCTAAGAAAAGAGAGCTATTAATATAAAAAACAAGATTTCAACTTTTAAAAGAAAAAATATTTTTAAAACTCTAGCTATAATTGACCTAAAAATGAAGGCATTTAGCTTGAAAAATGTATGATTCAATCTAAAAAAGCTAGAAGTCACTCAAACAGAAAGTTAACCACTTCTCAGACAGCCCCCTGGCTGGAATGGCAGAAGGCAGTGAAGGAGGGAGTAGCAATTTTAGAAAGTGAACTCTATGGCTTTAGTCTTCATAAGGTGACAAAAATCATAGCTATCAACTTTACCGAAATTTTAAAATGCTTAACGATGTTTCTAATCATCTCATTAAATTTAAATATTATAGATTGAATTTTTTAAAAAATTAGTTTTTGTTTCACAAAATATTTAATTTCAATATAACTTTATAGTAATCAAAATTACTAACCAGTTACTTTCCAGAAGAAAAAATATCCTAAATAAAAACAGGTGCAGGAACAATAAACTCGGAAACTATACTTTTAAAAGATGATTATTATACTTTCATTTATTATAGACATGTAATTTATAAGTTTATAACTATTTTATTTATTTATTTGAGAAAGAGAGAGCACAGGCAGGGGAGGAGCAGAGGAAGAAGCAGGCTCCCCGCTAAGCAAGGAACCCGATTATAGGAGACTTGATCCTGGACCCTGGGATCATGACCTGAGCTGAAGGCAGACACTTAACCGTCTGAGCCATCCAGGTGCCCTCATTCTGTAATTCTTTTTTTTTTTTTTAAAGATTTTATTTATTGATTTGACAGAGAGAGATCACAAGTAGACAGAGAGGCAGGCAGAGAGGGAGAGAGCGAGGGAAGCAGGCTCCCTGCTGAGCAGAGAGCCCGATGCGGGACTCGATCCCAGGACCCTGAGATCATGACCCGAGCCAAAGGCAGCGGCTCAACCCACTGAGCCACCCAGGCGCCCCTACCCTCATTCTGTAATTCTTAAGTGTCAAAAATAATAAGGAACCTAGTATGACAATTCAATAAAAAAATCAAAGTCCTAAACCAAAGCCGATACAGCTTATATGAACAGCTCAGACTTTTTATAATCTTAAAAACTACTGAGGACTCCAAAGTGCTTTCATGTGGGTTATATCTATTCATATTTACTGTATTACAAGTCAAAACTGGGAACCTCAGGTAATTAAAAAAATAAATAAACCCATTATATGTTGACATAAATATTTTATGAAAAATAACTATCTTTTCCTAAACAAAAGTATTAGTGACAAAAGTAGGTCTGTTTTACATTTCTTTAAATTTTTTTAAATGTATGGCTTAGGAGCGCCTGGGTGGCTCAGTTGGTTAAGCGACTGCCTTCAGCTCAGGTCTTGATCCTGGAGTCCCGGGATAGAGTTCCGCATCAGGCTCCCTGCTTGGCAGGGAGTCTGCTTCTCTCTCTGACCTCCCCCTTTTCATGCTTTCTCTCTCTCATTCACTCTTTCTCAAATAAATAAATAAAATCTTAAAAAAAAATATGTATGTCTTAATGAAAGAGGACTAGGGATCTGCTGATGCATTTAATCTGTTACAATGTGTTGTTTTAGTTGAAGCATCTGACAGCTATCTAGCCTCAGACAGATACATATTTGCAAAAGGGAATCTTTTATAGTCTTTTTCAGAGAATTGTGGATATTCTTCTTTAATTCTACATTAAAACTCAGTAACTGATAATTTCTAAAAGGCTAATTGCAACATGGAAAATATAACCATATCAATGAACTTTTCATACTGGATTTCATTAAATCCATTAGGTCTGAATAGATCTTTTACCCATGCATATTTTATAATTCCATGCACTGATCATTGGAAATTATGAGTTTTGCCAGTTTACCAAATGCTAATACTTTTCATTAAACAATTAAAAAATACATATGCTAATATCAACATCATTGTTATCAGGAAAGTCTGTAAGTACAGGGAAACTATTGGGCTTAAGATGGTGATAATAAGTTTTCTAAGATTCTAATTTTTATTCGGAAGTTTTAATTTTACCATTGGCAACCAATGCTGTCAGCTGCTTCCCTGGAATTAACAGGCTCACTTTGTTCATTTTTATTCAAGAAAATTCTACCAAATGTCCAAGTCTAAAAAACTATCATTTGTATGCTTTTCTTTTAAGTAAAAATAGTATTACATGGCAAAAGTTTCTAATTTAGCTCACAAATCAAACTATATGAGTACTTCTCTTTGAGACAACCATCATATTTTAGAATGCTGCAAATGCTTTATGCATACTTTCCATTTTATTACTCAGGATATTAAAAAGAGAGGCACTCAAATGTTGAAACTTAATAAAATTAATAATGTTTACTGTACCATCATGGACATTTTGAAGAGGAACTGGCGTTTCTTTTTTCTTTCTTTCTTTTTTTGACAGGGTACAGTGGGAAAAACTCAGTGTTTAGTAGGAGTTAGATGCCACTGCCTTAATTCATGCTAAGGAACTAGCAATTTTGCCACCATTGTTTCTGTATCAGCAGTGCAAGTGTCAACACAGTGCAAAAGGCAAATAACACCTTGGTACTACATAAAAATATTTTTGACATTATGAACCCTCAGGGTTCTTCAGGACACTGAGAGCTACTGGTTTGGGTAACTCAAGAAATGTAGAAACTTCACAGAATAGGAATTTTGTGCTTCTCAAAAAAGAATTCATAGTGACTAACTTCAAACCTTCTTGCTATTCATAAGGCGACAAGGAAGATTCAAAAACATTCTAAATACATGCAACTAAAAAAAGAAAGAAAGAAAGAAAGAAACAGACATACAAAAGATTTTTGACACGGTCAAGTGCTTAATCCCAACCAAGAAAAAAAAAATTTATATAGCAAAGAGCTCAAATTTTTCTATTTCAGTCAAAAACTGCTGGGGGTTAGATTATACACATGGCATATTATTATTTATGTCTTACCTTAGCTCTAGAAGAACTGACATTTTCCATATTTTCAATGCTGCAGATACAATTCTGTGAAACTTTTCGGCAAGCCACTCTGATATAGTCCCAGAAGCTACGAGGACTTTCATAACCAAACCAGGTTACTTGACCTTCAGGAGACAAATTGTAATACAAAATAAAAGAAAACTAGACTAGAACATTCCAAATGCAAGAATAAAATTTTGAAAAATAAAAGACAGCCTAGTGTGTCATAGTGAAAAGGGCGCTGACCTGAGTGGCAAAAAGCCTTCCATCTAGTCCTGCTCTCCTTTAACTAGTTGCAGTACTGTGGACAATTTATTTAATGGATGGGGATCATAGTTTTGTCAACAACAAAATCAAACGAATGAAAGAAAAAGGGACCGGACACTAAAAAAAAAATCTCTTGCAGTTTAATATTCCATTATTCTAAGGCCTTCTTTTAGACAGGTCCCAGAAAACCCTCCTTATGGTTCTAGTTAACCATTAATTCACACGTTGAAGGTTGTATTCTAAAGCTTTCTCTACTTAGAGAAACAGAAAAAATAATAACACAACACTTATCCTCCTCTTCATAAGGAAACTTCCAAGAAATGAAACGATGTTGTGGTCTATCTTCTAAGTATTCATGATGAATTAGAATCCTGTATTCACTGATCAAACATAATCTACCGAACCACTCTCATCTACAAAGTCGTCCAGTTCCTCTCATTCACCTGCTCTTTACTAGTGGGCAGCACTTGAAAGGTCCTTCAGGCATTTACCATTACAATTTTTCAGATGCGGGTAATTATATGTCTACTCATGAACGAATGTTCTTTTACATGTTATCTTACATCAGTATTAATATTTCTATAAGGGACTCTGGTGGGTTCATGGGCAAGATTTTGTACTCTGAGCATTTTAAAGTAGGATGTAAGAGACATCTCAATTCTTTCTTTAGTTTTCTGGAATGATTAGTCTTACTTAGGGAAGTTGTTTAATCTTAAAATAGAAAGATCTGCTTTACATTTTAAACTGGGCTTCCTTAATTACTTATCTTAAATATTCCTGTCCCCAATAATTGCTTCTCTGTAGAAACATCAAAAGTATTCTATCAATAAGCACCATTTTAGGAGTGATGCCTCAAATGATAGTTCAGTGGTTTTTAGCAGCCTCTAACAATAACTGAGCTGCTTTTTAAAAAATACCCATGCCTGGGCTCCACCCCAAGGTAAATAATCAAAATCTTTAAGGGCGGGCCCAGGCATAGGTATTTTTTAAAAAGATCCCCCCGGTATTTCTAATAGTGTATTTATAGGTAATTAACCAATAGAAACTGTACATATCATGATAGGTAACTCTTATTCATTATTCAGGACGTTTTAAAGTCCTTTTCTTCTTGTAATCCATGTATGATCTCCATAGTGGGTCAATTCCTCCCTATGCACTGACACAGCACCCTGTGCTTGCTTATCCTTACAACTGTTTACTTGATTATCTTACATATTAGGTGGTAAAATTGACAAGGCAGGGATTGTGTCTTATTTGACTTCAAATCAATCTCTAACACTTAATGCTTGGCTCATAGAAGGCATTCAGTAAATATTTGTTAAACAAATCAACTGGCAAATCAACACAAAACATCACCTTAATTGCAATACACATAAAATTTGAATTTTAAAAATCTATCTTCTTATAGTGACAGTTCAATAACAATCTGGTATTAAGAAATGTGTATCCTAGGGACACCTGGGTGGCTCAGTTGGTTAAGCAGCTGCCTTCGGCTCAGGTCATGATCCCAGGGTCCTGGGATCGAGTCCCACATCAGGCTCCTTGCTTGGCGGGGAGCCTGCTTCTCCCTCTGCCTCTGCCTGCCATTCTGTCTGCCTGTGCTCACTCGCTCGCTCTCTCTCTCTGACAAATAAATAAATAAAAATCTTTAAAAAAAAAAAAAAAGAAATGTGTATCCTAGATTTCAAATGTCCAACATTCCAGACAAACATACCTTTGTCTTTATAAATAAAAATACAAAAGCATCTCAAATCCGTATTCAAGTCAATGTCTCTAAACTCAATGTTTCTTTAAAAATCAGATCTTACTACCTACAAATAAAAATGTATAGAAATACTTACAATCTCCCTTCTTCCTCTCAATCTCTCCCTGTCACTTTCCTTTGCCTCCTTTGTTCTTCGAGTTAAAAGTTCCTGGTACAGTACCTCAATATAATTTGTCTTTAGGACAATTTTCGTGTCATCAATTTGTGAGACATTTGGAGAGGAGGTAGGATGCCTACTGGTTAAGAATGTGAGTTTTGAACCAGAGTGATCTGAATTAGACCACTTTCTAGCTATGCGATCTTGAGCAAGTGAGTTAACTTCACTCTGTCAATCTGGGTTTCTTCTATAAGTTGACAATAATGACAGTACCTACCTGATAATACTGTTGAGAGAATTAGATGAGATAATCTATGTACAGCAATTAGTTTATAGCCTGGTACAGATGTTAACAATTATTACCACTGTTATCACTATTATCATACAAATAGTTAAGGGGCCAAATCTCCCCTGTACTGTAAACGAAGTGGGAATGGGATGCAAAATTAAAATTTCCCCTTTACTTGCTCAGAATCTAGAAAAATGTTTAAAATTTACTCCCTAATGCAACCTTTTCCCATATCAACAATTTTAGATTTATCTCCCTAAGATATTTCTAGTCTCAAGTAATTTTCTTTGGCTTTTATTAAGACCATTCCACAATTTAAAATGAGAGGTATAGCCAGACTTCAATCAAGAAAGGATCTTAAAGAAAGGGAAAATCACAAGTTTTCTTCGTTGATTTTATTTTAAATCTTCTCATGACTTTGACATGGCTAAGGAAAATAATTTATGAGAAGTTTTAAAATAAAGCTGTCCAAAAAGCCACAAAAGAATATAACAAAGCCCCATTTTGGAGGAGAGGAAACAAAGATAGCAAAAAAACCAAAATCTAGGCTAAGGTTAAACAGAAGGAATGGACACTAAATCCTTGGGACTCCTGCTATGGATAAAATATGCTGTGTATAAGACTTTCACCCAAGAGACAATGGCAAGATTCCCCAGATTACAAGCTAAAAAACTGAACAATTGACAGAATAACATTCTTATCATTTGCAGGGCCTTAATAAGCCTGTAGTATCCTCACAACACTTTTAACAACTTAGCAAACTAGATGTAAGGATGACTTGGCTTGATTCTGCCATCCTTCCTCTTTCATGTGCATCATTTCCAAAGTGAAGTTCTGAATTCAAGACACTGAATTTTTCACATGCGAAAGAATCTGCTTTAAGAGAAGGTGTATTCTCTCGTTAGACCCTTCAAACAAACACTCATGTAAATTGTATATCCTAGAATTTTATATAAATAATAAAATAATTTCTGCATCTATTAAAAGGTTAAATTTAATTAAAAAATAATGGAAGCATCCTAATGATTACTTGAGATATTATTACTTGAAGATCATTTTTACTTACCCACAGATTAATAGCAAAAGATGTACTTAGGCTATTAGTCCGTAATCACTATTTAACAGAAAAATTAAAAAACAAACCTACAAGCTAACTGTGCTTTTTAAAATAACTACTGAAGCAATAAATCACTCCCCAAATATTTTCATTTCCTTTAAAAATAACCATAAAACCAATCATACAGCAAGGAAAGAACTAGTCTATATCTTAAAGAAATTTTACTCTGGAGAAGAAAAACACTGTCACTAACAGACTTCTTTTAAAAGCCATGTATAACATGCTTTCTGTTACATTTTTTTTAGAAGTTAACTTTTACCAATGATGAAGTTAAACAAGTTTTTCAAAACGTATTGACATTCCATCAAACTGACTCTAATTCATTTTACGGCAAAGAAAGAAAGGGTGAAAAGTTTGCTAGACTAAAAGTTAATGTGCTACTAACAAGCTACGTGATATCTTTCCAACCTACTGCCTTATTTTCAGCACCAAAAAATGGCCTGTGATCTCTAGGGTCCAAGGTTATTTTAAAATAACTCTTCCAAAAAAATTAAAAATAAAATACTCTTCTATATTTCTTAAGTTAGACATCTGTTCACGTCATACAATATATTTGTGTTTTGCTTGTATCTTAGTTTACAGCTGAAACAAGACCTTCTAAGAACAAGGACTAAATTTTCTAAAGTGGTTCTCTACTAAGTAGTGGCTGAGACATTATCTTTTGATAATATAAAATATAAATGAATCTGTTTTTAGTGACTTCCTTTCTCTATCCTTTGTATAAGTGCTTACCTATGTAAAGAGCAAATGAAAATCTCATCCCCCAAGCCGAAGCCTCATTAATGTTACAATGCATCAACTAGATGACAGTGTCATCCTGGAACTGCTATTCAACTAGACAAACAATAAGAGAGAGTCCCATTGAATTTTAATTAACCATTCTGATACCACTATAGAAGTTTTCAGATACTTAAAGGAAAATGGTTTCTTGTGGATTCACTGTTGTCAATTTATTAGCATTTAGATGAATTTAACTTTTAACTTTTCACTTTAAATTTTCTAACAGCAATCATGAATTTCTTACTACTAATTTATAAAAGTCAGTTCAATATTTTCTATTATAATTTTGCTAAACAGAGAAAATTCCCATTTCTGCAAGAGCACAGAGTCTTTTCCTTCTTGAAAAGAAACTACTAATTTTAGTTGAGGTTCATATCTATTAGACTACCCAGCTTTGAAAGTAAAATAATGTCCTTGATTAATTTTCTAAATAAAATTTCATATTATTATTATAAAAAAGGAATTTAAACACTTCACAAATAAATTTAATTACATATTAAGCTGAATCTTAAATATGAGTCGATTAGATACTCAGTTGTACTTATATCGCTAGTTCTTTCTATTACTTATAGGACCTCTCAAGTAAGTCATTTAACAACTAAGAAGCACAGTTACTCATTTACAAAACGTGATTATTATTCTTTTTTAATGACAATGTCTTGTTCACTGCTAAGGAATTTATAACAAGTATCTATCATATGTATCTATACCATAAAAATAATTTAATTCTTAATCTTTCAAGACAAAAAAAATTAAGAAAACGAGGTTCACCAAAAATCTGAAAACTGAATTTGACTTAACTTTTTATCCCAGTTATTTTGCCAATTTTCCAAGTAGAGGACAAAGACTTTGTCTTTTTCTTCTACCAGCTTTTTAACAAAAGGGTTAGAGTACTGGCTGACTGAATTAGAGTCCCGAAGGCTGAACTCCATAGGGAGAGCAACACAAAAATGTGAGCCCTGAAGAAATCAAGGGAATAATCTGTTTCAGTAGCGATTAAGGCTATACATAGAGGACAGAAAACAAATGAAACTGTCTAAAATGATTACTTGTGGGAATGAAGGTTGAGGAAAAGAGATGCTTGTTTTCTATTTCCCATTGTCTTAATTGTAATCCTTAAAAATAATGACTATGTATTTCTTTTCTAATTAAAAAATATAATAAAAGTCTAGGCCATTAAGTATAGAGCCTAGCAGTGCTTTGCAGATAGGAGCAACTCTGTTGAAAAGTTTTAAGTGAATAAAGGCATGCATTCTGCCTGAGAGAAAGGAAACTAAGGAATATATTCCCACTAATGATTCCAGAATGGCAAAGCAGTTACTGATACTGCCCTTCTGTGTTTTACTGAGTGACTTTGGAAAAATCACACAGCTTCCCAAAGCCCCCAGTTTGCATGTAATACAAATATTATTACACAGCACTTACAAAATTGAGGAGATAATAATTCTTATACTGTTAAGAGTTATAATAAAATGTAATTGCACAGATATGCCTGATTAACAAAAGAGAGTAAAGCCATGGGAACTTAAAGAAATATGGATGGGGTCCCATGAGAAAGGAAGGAGAATAAATGGATTATTATATTGTGTGGGTTTACAACAAGATTTTAATTTAAAAATTAGCATAAGCATATTTGTGCTCTCTGGATTAACAAAAACAAAAACAGAAAGCTTTGCAAAACCCATGCAATGTACTAAAAAAGATCACTTAACTGATACAGCCCTCCCCAGTAAGTCAATTCCATGCTCCCGCGCAGCTCAGTGGCGGGAGACATCACCAGCATAGAGTACCTTGAGGAGGTATTTGGAGATGAGCCAGCCATCTGCAACTTTGGGATATCTCTTTAAAAATATAAACAACAACAACAACACACAGATATTTAAGAAACCTGCCATCAAGTTTACAATTGCAAACTGAACAGCCCAAATAAGATGGCTACACATTACCTGGATGCAATAATCACTACATTTACCTACCTAATAAATAAAATGAACTCAGTTAGGATGAATATGAGGTACACTCGGCCCATATATCAAGCTGGTCCCTTGTCACCTATTCTACTGGAGAAAGGCGAGTATCTGTAAGTCACAGAAATAGGCTCTCTGTTTGCTTGCAGGGCCATCATTCTTTTCCAGACATGATAGGCTGATGATGACAAGGCAAAAGGAGCAAAAACTTGTTTGAATCTGCTAGCTTTGCACCTCAGAATTTATAAGTTTGGTTAGGATAATTATTAAACTATATGTCTTATAAAGTTTTAACTTCAAAAATAAATATATATATATTTTTTTACTGTTAAGAAAATTCATTTTGAAGAACAGCTCTTGTTTTGGGGGCCTAAGAAGAGTTAAAATTTGTATTTTTTTTCTTTTGTTAACTATGAGAACAGCACTTAGATACCAAGTAGAATGTTCTTCAGTTTAACCGATGTTGACAAAATGCCTACTTCATGCAAAATACTGTTTTATTTCCTACAGCCTCCAATTATTGTTTAACAACCACCATCTGGAAAATCTTGCTATGTTGTTTGGAAATTCCTAGTATAATTATACAGGAAAACTCTAAAGCCAAATTTCTAAAGTTGCATTCCTCAAAAATGGTCTTTTCTTCTCTCATAACCAAACACTGAAATCTCCAACAGGACATGGTCCCATAAACCTTGCCAAATTTTTATACCCTTTATGAAACCAACAAAACCAACCACACACACAGTCAGTACTGTAAGAAAATGAAAGGAAAAAGATGTATATAGTTTGTGCTATTGGCTACATTTATGTATTGACCATTCACTCTCTATCCTCCTACTTCAGTGTATAACTTTTTAAAAAGATTTTATTTATTTGACAGAGAGAGAGATCACAAGTAGGCAGAGAGAGGGGGGAAGCCGGCTCCCCGATGAGCAGAGAGCCCATTGCGGGGCTAATCCCAAGACCCTGAGATCATGACCTGAGCTGAAGGCAGAGGCTTAACCCATTGAGCCACCCAGGTGCCCCAATGTATAACATTTTTAACAAATATTAAATTTGGAAACACATATCCAAAAGGAACTATAATTTGGTAGTCTAATTGAACCCACATTAGAAGGTTATATTATTGCTACAACTACTACAAAAATGAAAATTTCTCAGCATTGAGATGTAAATCAGAATAGGATGCTTTTCACTGCAAATATTCAGAAAGCCAATTCTTAATGTTTAAATCACATTTATTATCTTTGCCCTGAAAACAAAGTTATGTATCTTATTTTTAGTGATTAACCAAAAAAGTTATCAAAAGTAAAAACAATGTCCATGAAAATCTTACTTAAAAGAAATTTTACTTCAAAAAATATATTAAATAGGGGACATCTGGGTGGCTCAGATGATTAAGCATCTGTCTTCTGCTCAGGTCACGATTCCAGGGCTCTGGGATAGAGCTTCCTGCTCAGCAGGGAGCCTGCTTTCTCCCTCTCCCTCTGCCTGCCACTCCTCCTACTTGTGTGCTCTCGCTCTCTCTGTCTCTCTCTCTGTCAAATTAATAAATAAAATCTTTAAAAAGTATATTAAATAAGATATATCATGTCCAGATTTATGTCATGATTTAATCAATCCCTGGTATAAAGTGAGAAACAATTACTAACTCTATTATAAATTACAATTTATAGATAGTGGGGGTTTTTTTAAACTGTTAGTATGTTAGCCTTTATGTCCTCATTATACAGATGGTTTTTATTTTGGCTGTAAAATACCATGTGAAGATTTTAAAAAACTAAAATGCTTTCACTTATATGTAGGCTTTAATTGCTTTAATCATAATTTAGTATCTTATTCTTCATCAGTTATAAGGAACCAGGAGCATTCAGAGAAAGTAAAAATCCACTAGATTCTAAATTATCTGTAATTAATTCTTTCATTTTATAGATGAGAAAGCAGAGGCCCAGAGAGAGCCTGCCTAGACCCATCTCTGTTTGCTGTCACCTCATGCTGATCTACTCATGAGACAAGATTTGACAGATGGAGGAGAATCAGTCAATTGGTTTTCCTGGTTGGTTATGAGTTCCCACTGACAGCTTCAGAAATAAGAAAAACCAAAACCAAAACAAAACAAAACAAAAATGAGCAGTAAACATATAGTGTGACCAGGGTGAATATTTTTCATATAAAATTAAAATTCTTACCATAGTTGCTGCCAAAAAAGCAAATGAACAAGTGAACTACAAAGCTCATATTATTTCAAAGTGGCCCAAGGAATTATTTGGACAAAAGGGTCTCATTTGCAACTGAAATACAGCTCTTTGTTATAAAATATGTTAATGTTAAGAGAAAGTGAAACAGTATTTTACCATTATGTAGTGACAGTTTCAACAAAACTAAGTATATCAAAGTGTTCTGTTCAAAAAAAATTCATTCAAATGCACCATGACAATCTTATCACATATAGTTATAGTAGGTATTAATTTCTGAAATTTCAGCCAAAAGAAGAATCTATTCAGAGGTGGATACAATAAAAGAATGTTTAATCATACTAAAGATACAGTATTTTCTGACCCAAAGAGTATTGAACTTTGAAAAACAAATATCTGAAAATGAATCCAACTTTAATCTTTTTATTAATGTGGAAATTGGCCTTCATCCAGAAAAGATCACTGACCATAAATAAATGCCTTTGTGATGAGACTGAATATAATTCTAATTCACTAATGACATTTATTCTCCAACTTTTTTCATGTTAGCTCTTGTTCCAACTTTAGCTTTCTATTCATTTTGATTTGATGACTAAGCTACATTAATTATGATTGATATAATTTGATAAATGTTAATGACTATGCAGAAGGTGAACATCTGCCTTCGCTATATTCTAATTTTTTCTCTTTCTCTGTGTATATATTTTTCTAATAAAGTTACAGGTAGATGACTTTATTTTTAAACGACAGATTCTAAAAATAAGACCCCTAAATGGATTTGTAAATAGCCATTTGTAAGAAAAATAACAAAACTGATTATAAATTATCAGACAGTAATTCAGAATTTTCACAAGTTTTTTTTAAATTGGCAATACCAAATAGAATATACTTCATTTTGTCACTGATAATATTCGTGGACGTTCTTGTTATTTGAAATATTGAATCTTCAAAATAGATATGTAAGAGAAAAATCATTCAATGAAGCGACATTTAAGACTGTAGTATACACTGTAATTCAGCTAACAATGGAACAATATTATCTTCTTTTCTGTGTGGTAATTTTTCATTTCTTAATAGATTATGAAATTAAGTTGTACCATCATATAAAATTCATCTTAATCTTTCAAAAGACTGCTTTCAAAATGACATTATAGGTAGATGATAAGTACATTAGAAACAAAAGTATTTGTTCATTGATTCAACAATTTTCAAAACTGAATATCAAAAACATGAAAATATTTTACATTTTAAGGTCATAGTGACTTTAAAGGAAACATATGCAGGAAGAATTTTAATAAAATATTAGGTTATATCAATGAACTTCTCTTGAAATCAGAAAATCAGAAAGACATAGGAAATGAAATTACTGATACCCTCCAAAAATGAACTGAAGTTCATTAAACTACACAATCTCTTCCTTGTTCTATAAGAATAAGAAATATTTGAGCATTAAAAATGCTGAATTTGGCTGGGGCGCCTGGCTGGCTCAGTGGATTAAAGCCTCTGCCTTCAGCTCAGGTCATGATCCCAGGGTCCTGGGATCAAGCCCCACATCGGGCTCTCTGCTCAGCGGGAAGCCTGCTTCCTCCTCTCTCTCTGTCTGCCTCTTTGCCTACTTGTGATCTGTCTGTCAAATAAATAAATAAAATCTTAAAAAAAACCCAAACACTGAATTTACATAACAAAAAATTTAATGAGACAGCAGCTTTCCATTACTGAAAATAAATAAAATATAATTTAATAATTATAAGTACTGTAAGATGCTCTATACTAATTCCACAAAAACCATCAGGTCAAACTGGAAATGTCCAATTATTTTTCCGGAAGAAATCCAAAGGGCTACAAATACAGATAATAAACATAAGCATGAACTACCATCAGAGACCATCAATTCCTCCTAAAGCCAAGAATCTGTATTACCTGGTAGACTCATAAATTTCTTTACCTCTCTCGTATATTAAAAAAAATTCAAAAATACCTGAAGCAATGTTATCAACAGTAAATATTATTTAAGTATTCTAAAAATATTTTCTTTTGTGTGGTACTCTCACTCAGAAGTCAAATCTAAATTGAGAATCTTTAATTTGAAAGGATTTGGGAAGTGAAATTCATGTAAAATAAATCTAAAAATATTCCAGAAATACAAAGTTTAAAATCACTAGTAAATCTCTCATTCCGTAAATAAATAAATATTTAAATTGAGGGATTAAAATGACTCCTTGAAAATTCTGTTTTAGGGGCACCTGGGTGGCTCAGTGGGTTAAGCCTCTGCCTTCAGCTCAGGTCATGATCTGAGGGTCCAAGGATGGAGCCACACATTGGGCTCTCTGCTCAGCAGGGAGCCTGCCTCTTCCTCTCTCTCCCTCTCTCTGCCTCTCTGCCTACTTGTGATTCTGTCAAATAAATAAATAAAATCTTTAAAAAACAAAAAAAGAAAATTCTGGTTTGGTTGTAAAACATAAAGACCATTTTGTCCACATCTCCAAATACGTACACATACTAAAGACATTTTTATTGTTCTTCACCCAGAACTGCTTAGCAAATACCATAATTAAGAGTAGTACTACGATCATATGGTTCCAAACAGAAGCAAGTACCTAAGTATGTGGAGACTGTGTTTTAGAATTTTAACTTTTAATTTTAAACATGCACAAAATTATATAACATATTGTGAAACTA